ATGCAAAGTCTTTAAATTCTCAACTAAGCTATTTGGGACTACACCTACATTAGAGATAATACTAAGGGTAGAATTGAATTTTTTTTAAGATTCAACATGGATTTCATTTCTATCGATAACACTAGTTTACAAATTTAAACTTTTTTTCGTATCCAAAAATAAAAAAAATATTTTTTACTTCTAAATTACTTGCTAATAACAAATCCAAAAACGGATTATCCTTATCACGTCAGGTTTTTTCATAAATCGAAAATAATGAACTTTGCTCTTACCTTCACGTTAGTGTCAAACTGATTCATGTTAATGCACCATTGTCGCATAAAAAATGTCTTCGAGATCGTGCAAAGTAAGTGCAAATCAGTTTTGTTACGTTTATGGTAAAATTATAGTACCTAAAGCAAGACCTGTTCAAATATGCTTAAAAAGAAGGTATCAAGGATTTTGGGACGAAAATGTGTTACTGTTGGTCAATTATAAGGGAAACTGTCAGTACTGTCAATAAAAGAAACGCTACTGTTTATCATTTTTAATTTTCAGTCATAATGTTTATAATATATACTGGGTGTTGCTTTTATTGGATACAACCCCTGTAACTTCTTTATTCTTAAAGATAAACCTGTATTTCTTTGAGCAAATTTGTATCATTTTAAAAGATCTTTGTGAGGCCAACCTCACATTTTTATTATCACTTCCCGTAGATAAATCACAAACAACCAATTATTCTAAAATCAATACTTGAAAAATTTTAAATAAAACATTGATGATAATCTAGTAGCTTGAAAAATTGACACTCATGTTATTTATTTACGTAAATGATATTTTAAAATGATGCAAATTTGCTCAAAGAACTATATGTTCATATATATTTAAAAATAAAAACGTTACAAGAGTTGTATAAAAGAAAAGAAATACGGGGTATGTTTATATAAATATCTCAAAAACCTGACGTGATAGATTTTTTCTGCTTTCAGATTTGAATTTCCCGAACCCAAATCCTTTAAATTCAACTATTTTTGTCTTTGGATATAAAACCTTGTAAACTAGTGTAATTGTAGATATTTTGAAACCTTGGTGTGGTATGTTTTAATAATATTGTTTGTGTTAGGAATAACAATGTCAATCAAAATGGCTTCGTTTGTGTGTTTTTTGATAAGTATGATGTCTGGTCTGTTAGCTGTAATGTTTAAGTCTGTAAGTATTGTGCGATCCCAGTATAATTTGTATTTGTTATTTTCAAGGAACGGAGATGGAATGCAAGTGCAATAGGGCGTCGTATCTTCGATTAAGTTCATAAGTGTTGCTAATTCTTTGTGGATGATTTTAGCGGCGTTGTCGTGTCTAGCTTTGTAGTTAGTTTGTACTAGGATGCTGCAGGAAGAGATTATGTGCTGTATCGTTTCAGGTTTTGCTTTGCAGAGGCGACAGCAGTCGTTTCTTATATTCGGATCTTTGATGATGTATTTTCTGTAATTCTTGGTATTGATTACTTTGTCTTGAATAGCAAACACAAATCCTTCTGTTTCGGCATACAAACTTGATTTTTTTAACCAAATCAATGACATCTTCTTATTGACATGAGTTTCTTCTAAGTCTTTGTAGAATTTTCCATGTAGTTGTTTTTGTTTTAGCTCACTTATTATTTTGTCTATTGCGTGGGGGGTGTGGATTTCTTCGGTGTTGGACAGATTTAAGGGTGTGTGGTTTAAATCTGCTCTTGTGCTGGTGCGAAACATTTCATTTCTTTCCGCTCGTTTCAAGAAATACTTCTTCAAATCTGAGATTTGTCTCTGATATAAGTTTTCTAGGTTCTCCATTCTGTCTTGGTAATGAGAATCTTTCAATCGACGATTTTGGATGATGCCTTCTATACTGTGTGAAGATTTTCCTTGTTACGATGTTTAAATTCTCAAGATCAGTTTTTGACCATTTAATGAAAAAAATTATTATTATTATTATTATAATTTTTATTGAATCATTATTTTAATAAAGACGTGGGTATTTTAACATCTTCTAGAAAATGAAGTGACCCGTTCTTAAATTAATTAAAAAATGAGAGGGTAATTAATTTTATTAAATTTATTTTGCCTAATGGAAAAAAATATATCTCACCCGCTGGTTTTATAATTATTATAATTCTGTGCAAAAAAAATACATTGTTTTATGAGTATACCGCGTGTCTGCAAAATGGCGGAGTAACTCTTCAGTACGTTATATACGGGGGTTTCGGGAGTCCCGAAAAAATAATAAAAAAATTCTTCATGATGTAGATTACCAAAAAAAACATAATTTTATAAAAGTAAAATTGGCAACACTGAACACACCCAGTGCGTGAATAACTCCAGCTTATTTTCTGATTGCTTAGTAACGATGGTGACTGAAATCCATCTTCCCTTTATATCAAGCAAACATTGTTGTCAAATGGAATTTGATCAAGTTATTACAAAAACAACACAGCCGTATCTTTGTGCATTCTAACTGAAGTGGTAATTAAACGTGGACATGCGCGAAAGAAATATTAACTAAAAGTCTTATTACTAGTTATTGTGATAATGAATGTGTTGTTTAGTTGTTAACCGTAGTAAAAAAAACAATTTTAAAATCATTATAACTCCTCCAAAATGTGAGAAGGAATTTTTTTACTATTTTTCTCAGACTCGCCGTTGATTGTTAAGAGCGTAGCGGAGAGTTAATCCGCCATTTTCCAGACACCCGGTATATAAAAATTATTAGTACACTGACTATCACAACTAATGACTATAAAATATTTTAAATGGGCGAACGACCTCGTATGAAAACATAAATTATTATTTTGCTGTTATCAATAAAAATGGTGACAGTATCGCATTCGATTCTAAGTTATGTAATTTAATTTCGATGTATATAGTCGGCTCGTAAAGTCAGTCCCCCCTTGTACCTCAACTGCTGCAGGTTTATCATTTACATTTAAAACTTGGCGTATGATCCTTTTTTTAAGCGCCTATTTCATTCTACACATGATACCAAAGTTTAAAATAAGGTCGTCTAATTACTATACCAATTATTTTGTCAAGCACTAGCCAAAATTATTTATTTTCTTTTTTATTATTTTTATTATTACGCTCATCACATGGAACAAAATACAGCTGCTAAAACGATTACTGCTTTTACCCAAGAAAAGATTGTTCTCTTTGGTAAAGATTACACTAAGCATTTATCACAATGACTTTTTTGTTTAGTTTTAAAGACTAACATTGTTTTAGAATTTGTAATTTCTGTATCTAGATTATTCCAAATTTGAAACAGACAATCGGTTAGGAATTGCTGTCCCCAATTCGTTTTATAATTTTCATAAAAGAGCTTTTTTTTAGAGTAGTCTCGAAGGTGGAATTTATCACCAAGAACAAAGATGGTGGAAAAATCAACAGTAAACTTAAGATCCTCGTCCGCTTTATTTTCTAAATTTTCAACAGTTTCAAAATACAGACAGAGGTTGTACTCTTTAATTATGTAGCTGTTGTGTAGCTTTATGAAAGCAGGATGATAGGGCGAGCATATGATACCAAAGGGGTTTTAAATCAATCTTCGTTTGGATTTACAAATGTGTTTTGCAGCAAGTGGTAGATTTTTTCACTGTGTGACGATAATACCCAAGTTGTTGATTTGGTGAACAGTCTGCAGGGTATTATTGTCAGTAGAATATATAGTGTTGGGGTTGTTTTTGCCCGAAACACATAACAGTTGTGAATGTTTAGAGACATTAACCAAGTGCGAGTCCAACTCTGAGCTACTGAAAGATTATCTTGAATAATTCAAAACATGTTAATGTGTTACCAAACAAATTGCCAACGTCGGTATAAAAAACACAAAAGACTAATACCAATCGTACATCTGATATATAAATGTTGTATTTATTTAATTTTGTATATTGTAATGTTTTTGTATGTAAGATATAACAGGCTTCAGCACAGCTACTTGTATAAACGATAGAGTGGATCCCTAGTAAAATCGGTCAAGTCAGAAGTTAATCTGTGATAATTTAGTTTCGAAAATTTTGTTGTGTTTCATTTCATAGAGGGGGGTTGACGATATTGTATGGATGTTTCTAAAATACCGTGATCTGGTACGCTTATAGACAAGCATTAATTTCACCAAGAAGATTAGAATCGCTTAAAACCAAATCAAGTGGACATGCCTAATCAGCACGGAAACGAATGAGCGAAGTAACCATTTGTATGAGGTTGGTTTCCAGAAGCATATCCGCTATTAAAAAGGCAGTATTATTTTTATTATCATCATCTAATAACTGCATGTTTGGCCTTGAGATTTTAGGAAAGTTGAAATCTTCAAATATTAGTAAATTGATTGTTCATCCACAACGAGGTTATCAATAAATCAGTAGCCGCACAACACTGGTTTTTCAGTAAGAACAATATCCGACATTGATACTAAGCGGCTCAATTTTGGTAAATTTTTTACCATAACACTTTACGGTAAATTCTTTGAAGATTAAACTTTTTAAGAACATGCAAATTCCTCCTCCTCGTGAAGGCGATAGCTTATATAGTTTTAGTTCATTTAGAACTACAGGTGATACTGATAACCAAGATTTGCTTAATACCATGATTTTTTTAAAGTTTGGTATCATGTGCAGAATATCACTTCATGATCAGATGTCACTAAGATGACGATTAGCATCATTTGACTACTCATTCACACGTTTTAAATTTAATTTAAAATTAAAGCCCGTAGCGGTCGAAAGTCACATGGGGAGAGGGACTGACTTTACGAGCGCACTGTAAATTTTCATAACTAAATGCAGACTATTACTTTCCTGATAATAACTTAGTGGCTTTTAATACGTTAGTAGAGGTAGTTATTTGTTAGAAAGTTTTAATGTCTTCTAAGTACTTACGGATAATCTCGACAATAATAATCTTGATGACGTCGGTCGTTTTACAATTATGTACATTCATTTAACTGCTACATTTTTGGTTTAGTACAAAGTTTTGTATAATGATTACTGAAGGTCTTATGTAAAAATCAGACATTGATAAAAACTCAAAGAGAACGAGCAGTGCCAATAGAGAAACGTTTTACCAACTTTTGTTAGTGTTTTCAAAATGAACGGCGAAAAGGCGGAAGAAAGGCGAAATAATCCCAGGCAAAGTGCAAGTCTAATTTCTAGAATAACTTTTTGGTATTTAATTATTTGAAGGAATTTAAATATTTGACAGTATTATTTAAGGTACACTTACGACTTGTTTAAAATAGGATATAAACGAGAGGTCGAAGAAAAGGATTTGTATGAAGTGCTTCCTCAATTCAACACGTCCGAACTTGGAGATCATATGGAACGCGAATGGAATCAAAATAAAGAACATAGGAATGCTATGTTTTTAGTTTTGTGGAAAATGTATGGCAAGTATTACTGCACACTTAGTGTAACGATGCTCTTTACAATTGTACTTAAGTAAGTTTATCTTCATAAATCAAAAACCCAATTTAGTTTCTGCTTTTAGCGTTGTCCGCCCCATAATCTTTGGCAAACTGGTTTTCTTTTTCACTCCTGGACAACAAAGCCTAACTAAAGCAGATGCCTTGCTTTACACTGCAATTTTGCTTGTGCTTCAACTAGTTGATGTCATTTGTAGACAAAATTACATTTTCTTAACGGAAAATTTAATCATCAAAATTCGCACTGCGTTTTGTTCATTGATTTTTCGAAAATTTCTTACGCTTCCAGTAAGTTGTTTACACCACGTTAGCTATGGCAATGTTGCAAATTTGATAACAAGAGACATCGGTGCATTTGATCAGTTCTTCCTTCACTTCACTTACGGTTGGTCTGGAATCATCGTTACTCTAATTTCATGTTACAATATGTATCGACGTATTGGTTGGCCAGCTGCCGTGGCAATTCTTGCATTTGCTGTATTCATTCCTCTTCAGGGTACGTACGATTTAATGTAGTAGACCAATGAAATATATTTTTTGTATGACATGGTGATTCACATTGTTGTTCAAGGTTTAAACCCAAGGTTTAACATGCATGCCGTTTTGCGTACATAATTTATTATTAGATATCCTAATTTTCTACTGTTACACAAAACATTTAAAAAGTGTGTTTAAAGTGAACCAGTGAAGTCGAAATGGCGTAAAAATATATTTTTTCTACCGCCCACGTTTTTTGGTTTTCTAATAGAGCTATTAACGCACGCAAATGACGTCACAGCAGTTCGTTAATAGCGGAAAGGCGTTCTTTAATAGATCTGGTGTAATTTAGATCGGTAAGATTGGCAACCACGACGAGAAATGTCAGGTGAATGTCAGTGGCAAATGTAAACTTAAAATTTCCCATATTTCCGAACGCGTAACTTCTTCACAAGACATTTTAACCAATTTTAAATTAGAAAAACTCGAATTGATTCGAATTACAGTTGTTGTTGTGAAAATTCGAACCTCAAATATTTCGTGGTTAGTGTTAGACCAACTCATCACCAACCACGACAAAAGTCCCCACATTAAAAAAAAATGCAAATTTCAAGTAAATTTTGGGAAAAAACGTGTGCGGTAGAAAAAATAGTATAAATAACTCGTTCATAAAGCCATTGAGGCACTCATCCTTTATATAACTCGCGGCTTCGCCGCTCGTTCTATAAACTTGGATTCGTGCCTCAATATTTGCCTTATGAAACTCGTTCTTTAATATACTATTTACTTCCTGGGCGTAAGCTATTGACGCCGGTTCGTCCGTTTATCGAAAAGAGTCGAGGAATTATTATGACTTTGTCTAGTTGGATCCTCAAGAAACCCCAGATGTGCTATTTCGAAAAACTGCACAACAAAAATGTACCGGTAGTACTTGCGGGATCGTCCTGCCTGCAGAGCTGTTACCATTTGATTTGATGTGTTTGTCTGACCGATAATAATTAGAGCACAACTTCTTGTACCCCTATACCTAATTTCAGTGGATTTGTACAACTGGTTCTCAAGATATTTAACCGTTTTCATACATTCTAGAGACCCTGTATAATCATTGTCAGAAAACAAACATTTTTTAAATTTTTTCAAAGAAGCGGAATTCGTTGGACTGCACTTCAGAGACGAGGAAAGTTCTGTCAAAGTAACCGTCGACCAATTTTTTTAGATTTTCTTATACAGAGTGACGCAAAAAAAATAAGGAATGAGTCAATTTATTTTTTTGAATAAATCAAATCAGGAACTGCAAAACCGAATGCTTTGAAATCTTGCAAACGTTTTAAGGTTATCCTAATCATGGTAAATTGTTAATCAAAGTCATTTATCCTCTCCCAAAAAATTTATGACATCATCTCAAAATTTTGGCAAATAAATCCTCTTTAAATTATGCAAAATATTGTCACTCCATACTTTTTGATTTATTATTGCGTTCATATTGTTATGAAATAAATCCATACGCCGCCCCGATACGACGCTTATGGGTTTTCTAGTATATAGTATGATTCATCGGCCTATCCAAGCGACATTCGCTAAAGAAAGGGCTGGAAGCGATGAAGTCGAGAAAGATCTCGATTGCGAAACATCGAGAAGAGAATATGAACGAGATTATTTGAAAGCGGGGGCCAGAAAAGTGTTTTCTGTCTCTTGGTCTAATATTACTGTATAATAAGTAGGTAAAATATTGATGAAAATACGCTACGAAAAATCCGTCGACAAACAAAGAACATTAAACTAAATAAATGCTGGAAAACGCAATAAATATTTCGTTTGTTCATTATTATTTTTAAACGCCGAGATATTGTGAATTAATTTTAATTACAGTCGTTTTTTAAGAGATTATTATTATTGCACACAAGTGTTAATTTCACCTTTTCCGTCAAAAGTTGTTATTAACAAATACGAGATTTGGTCTGGTGTCACATTAATTTGTTTCGTTTACAGTTCTTGCAGGAATATGGATCGCTTCACTCAAGAGAGAGACATCTAAGAAAACAGATAAAAGACTTCAAAAATTTAAGGAAGTTTGTTCAAACATTAGAAGCACAAAAATGTATGTTTGGGAAAAGTACGTGAAAAACAAAATATCTTTGGCAAGAAAGTAAGAGTTCTTTTTGAAAAAGCGACAAACTGAGCATTCATTTTTTAGGGAAGAAATGACTATTCTATTTAAAATTTTTATTTTGTTATTTCTGTCTATTGCAACGGGAATCATAGTCGTCAACGTAACATTTTATTTTGTTGTAATGATTAATATTTGGATTGATCAAATTATAACGGCGGAAGTTATGTACTTCATCAATGGTACCTTCTTGACTCTCACTTTTATCATGACAATATCATTTCCCTTTGCAACATTTAGTTTATCCCAAGCGATTACTGCCATTAAAAGAATGCAAACTTTAGCTCATACATTAGAAACGCATAGCAAAGGAACGTGTCGCACACTTAAAACAGAAACACCAGAAGTCGAATTTTCAAATGTGACAGTTATAATCGACAATAAAACAATTTTCGAAAATGTTAGCATTCATGTTTTTTCAGGACTAACTCTAATAACCGGACCTACCGGTAGCGGTAAAAGTGTATTTCTTTTGACAATTTTGAAAGAGTTTGAAATATCCGATGGAAAATTATTTGTTCAGGGGAGATTGTCTTACGCATCACAGGAACCTTGGCTATTTCCTGCTAGTATCAAACAAAATATACTTTTCGGAAACAATTATAATCATAAACGCTATCAAGAAGTTTTGCATGTTTGTGATTTAAATTATGATTTAGATTTACTAGAAAATGGTGATTCCACTGTAGTAGTCGATGGTGGAGTTAACCTAAGCAAAGGACAACGAAGTAGGATTAATTTAGCAAGGGCTATATATCAAAACAGCGATATTTATTTAATAGATGACTGTCTGTCTAGTTTGGATCCTTTAGTTTCTAACCATATTATTACAAATTGTATTTTAAAGCTTTTGCGTAACAAATTAGTTTTTCTCGTGAGCCATCATTCGGATTTAAAACATCATGCTGCGAACATTCTAAACCTTCATAATCATTCGGATTTAAAACATCATGCTGCGAACATTCTAAACCTTCATAATGGAAATGTAAACACACGGAAAAATTATTTATCGGATGATGTAGAAAGTGACAATCCAAATATCACTCCACGTATTCCCAACACTTTAATAACAACTGACATAACTACTTCCATTGATTCTGAAAGAGAGAAATTGAACGAAACTACAAAAACAAATAAAATTTATGGTGAAATAAACAAATCGGGTTCGGTCCCTTTAAAGGTTTACACCGAATATATACGCTTGGGAGGTGGAGCTGCTACGTTTTTAATAATTTTTTGTATTTTTATTGTAACTCAATTATTAGTAAGCTACAAAGATAAATTAATAAGTAACTGGTAAGTATGATGCATAGAAGTAGTCTTCCAAACAGTATCTTTGTTTTTCTTTTAGGGTAAACTTGGAAGACAAAATTTCTCGAAATAATCATACTGTTGGCAACGTATCATACCTACATCTTGTAGAAGATCGTAACCACCTTTTGCGTCACTACACCGGTGCTGTTGTGGGACTGTCTGTCGCTATATTGATTAGAGGGTGGGCACTGTTTCAATTTTCAAGAAGAATATCACTGAGTTTACACAAAAGAATGTTGAACTGTGTTATTGGTGCTTCTCTTCAATTTTTTGACACAACGTTTTTAGGAAATATTGTGAATAGATTTTCGAAAGACCTTGACAGTGTCGATGAAAATATCCCATTCCCTCTAAACAATTTGATATCTGTAATATTTAGGTAGCGCACTTCATACATTTATCGATTTGAAATTATTTTAGATCGTCTTTGAAACTGTTGGAAGTATTGTACTGATTTCCTCGACCAACAGACGACTACTTTTACCAATCGCTTTACTTTTTGTGAGCCTAATATTTTTGCGATGTGTTTACATAAAATCAGGAAGACCGCTGAAAAGGCTAGATGTCTCAAGTAAACTAAGAGTTTTTTATTGAATTCAAATTTATCTTTAATTTTTAGCTAAGAGTCCTGTGCTTGGATATCTAAACGCCACATTAGAAGGAGTGCCAACTATAAAGGCTTTCGGTGCACAAAAAATTGTCACGAAGGAATTTGAGACACACCACAACCTTTATAATTCGGCGTCGTATTCATACACCGCCAATTTGAAAGCTTTTGTGTTTGTGGCAGACGTGTTTGCATCCATCTTCATCGTTGTGGTTATTTTGCAATTTATTTTTGACAGAGGTATTTTCTTTTTCTGTATAACACCGATCTCAGGAAAAAGTTGCAGACGTGCTACCTGGAAACTTTGGATTGGCAATTTCACAGTCTTACGCAATTTATAATGTAATTTTCTACGGAATGCAGAAGTGGGTCGATTTAGAAACACAAATGACTTCAGCGGAACGTGCTATGGAATATACAACCATACAGAAAGAGTCTGAATCTGGATTAGAAATCGAGAATTGGCCAAATCTCGGTGAAATTAAGTATGAAAATGTGTGCCTCTCTATGAATAAGTCTGACTCATACATATTAAAAAATATAAATTTTCATATTAAACCTAACGAAAAGTTGGGAATTGTGGGGCGTACAGGAGCTGGTAAATCGTCAATTATATCAGCGCTTTTTCGTTTGTACGAAATTAAAGGAAGAATCACATTAGACGGGGTCGATATTAAAACGCTTTCATTACATTTTCTTAGATCGAATATTTCTGTAATTCCCCAAGATCCCCTCTTGCTTAGCGAAACACTACGGGATAATATAGATCCAGAGCAAGTACACACAGACGAAGAAATCTGGAATGCTTTACGTACTGTGGGAATGAACAAAATTATTTCAACGTTAAATGCTAACATTAAGAAATTTGAGTTTAGTTGCAGTCAGAATAGATTACTGTGTTTAGCTAGGGTGTTAATAAAAAAGAAGAAAATATTAGCTGTCGACGAAATAGTCGAACACGTGGACACTAAGACAGAAAACTTAATTTATAATATTATCAATGAACACTTTAAATTTTGTACTGTTATTAAAATAGCACACAGATTAAAATTTGTTCTAGATTGCGACAAAGTGTTAGTGCTGGATAACGGCAGCGTTGTTGAATATGATAGTCCAGAAACTTTGCTGAAAAATCAAAATGGTTTGTTTTATAAGATGTATAATGTTCTACTTTAAGAAATAAATGTGTTTGTCATCTTACTTAATTATTCTAACTTCTATAAAAAAACACGTTGAAAATATCAGTTGTACAACAACAACGCCCTGCATAATAATAATCAATATTATTCTGAAATATCTTTTATTAAAGAGACAAACTTTTAACGATAAGTAGAAAATTCATTGCACTGAAAGAACTTCATCTAAGACACTAAAATATAACAATTTACTGTTTAATTTGAAATGTGCGGTTTGCCAATTTCCGTAAAAATAGATATCAACTGCTGCTATGGACGTTGGAATATCAACTGAAATGTCTTCTGTTAGTGTTACTTGATTGTCCAAAGCAGAGTATGAGTATTTTCCATGCCGGCAACTAGACGAGCGTTTTTCCCTTTAGAACATTCGATGTCATCCACATATGATTGCACCAATGCATTCATTTGTCTTCTTTAACTATCATGAAACTTCTTTGTTGACCATTTTTGGATGAATGAATGTTGACGATTATATATTCTTCTACGTCTCGAACATCAATAAATCGCTTCTACATGCTCCGACTGCACCCATGGATATAGCAACTTTAACCATCAAATACGTTTCATCTGATTCACAAAGAAATTTTAACACCTGTTGACGAGTAAGGAGCTTCGACTTCTTTGGTTGGTACCCTCTTCCAAGTTGCTTCAAATACTGCTGCAATTGTACAAATTTCTTGGTACTCTTTATCATCTTGTTTACCTCGAGCTCTTCTCGAAGCATTGAAAACTTTGTCCACAGTAAATTAGGAGCAAAAGATTTTGATAGTTCGTGAAAGAAGCCCAAAATTACGGCTTCATTTACTGCATGAATACAATTCAAGCCGCTTTAAAATACTTACAATAAAAAAAAAGTAGAACAAAATATTATTCTTTATCTTTTCTTTGCAACGATGACATAAAACGTAGACTGCATCTCTGGCTTGGGGCTTGGATTGGGTTTAATGCTTTCGGTCGATGTGCAGCCCTGGAGCCGGAAGCCCTTGAGCTGCAGATATTCGAGATCAGGCATTAAGGCCCTAATAACGCCCTTGGTACATTAATAACTATAAAGCTGAGAACCAACGAGAAAAAGTCTGTTATCATCAATGTATATTTTTAATTTACTTTTGCGTCCTTCGCTTATATTTATGTCCAACATTTTTTAAATAAAAAAGCCAAAATTGCCGTATTTGAACTCCACATTTACTGACCATTATTTTTAATATATATTTTTTAATAAACAGAAAAATGTATTTTTTATTGAAGAATTACTGCTATTATAATAAACTTAATTAAATACTTTAATAAATGAAATAATCTAAATACTTCGTAAAAATTTTGAAATGTAATTTCAGTATTTCTCCTTCCCGTCTTTCCACAAAATGTTTCACTTCACAAATCACTGTCAGTTTTAATATTTTCGTTTCGAATAGGACAAATATCAATAGGTATTTGGGATTAACCACCTACTACAAGCACATTTTTGTGCACCACCTTGTGTTGTTACTCTATTCTTCCAGTAGTGTCACCAACATTGTCCCTTTCTTCTTTAAAATAATGCACTAAACATTGAGAACCTTCTCTCGTGCGTCAAGCTAATTCATATGACACAATGTGGTAAAATTGTCTTTGCAATCCACATGATTCATTATAGCATTCTATAATCTTCACGATTTCATATTTAGATAAAGTTGCAGGATGTTGTTTTCTTTTTTCCGCTTCCTTTTGTAATATTTTGCGCTTTCCATTTCCAACATCTCGCAAGGATTTATTCCACATCTTTAAAGGGGTCTATGACTCTGTTAAATTCTTATAAATCTTGAATAAGTTTAGAGCATTTGTTCCACATTGTTTTAATCGTCTCTTCTTTATAGTATTCATCATTACACTGTTCATTTTTAATGCCAGTCTTTTGAACTATAGTCCAATTTTGTGGTAGGAGTAATTTCGTCACAAAGTAATTGGAATTGCTTCCAAATAGAATTTGCTACTAACTGAAGTGTTTTTACTTGCATTTGCTGTAATTTCTTTACTAATTTGTTCACAGATAATAATGAATTTATTGGTCCAACGAACCAAGATTCATTGTGGATACATGAGTATTACAAACATATCAAAAGTAATTTATGCTTAATTTTAACAAACTCACGATAGAACAAATCCAATTCATCACAGTTATGCTGGCGTAAAGTTTGTCTAGAATTATAAGAATTTTATGGACTCCCAAAGTTAATTCAATTTTACAGCCCTGTTGTCAGTTTTATTGTTTAGCTGAAGAGCGGGGGCGAATTCAGGCACAGAAAAGATCGGCTTTCCCCTGACAGGCTCTTTACCTGTACAATAGAATTGACGCCTGAGCTGTGAAACAAATTAACGTTGGGAGTCCATAAAATTCTTATAATTCTGGACAAACTTTACTAGTGTATTATACAAGGTGAAATAAGATAAGAGCGGGCTATTAACATGGTGGATCGAATTTGGTAAATTATAATCAAACGTAACAATATTTCTAGTTCCTACTCCTGGGACATAGTATTTTACTAATTATAAAAGAAACAAACTTTTAATACGACCATTAATTATGTTTTGTAAAAATATCAATCGAGCCGTTTTTCTCCTAGCTTCAAGCGACGTCTCATGTAGAAGTACCAACAATTCGTTTTGGTCACCAGTGTTGTACCGGGTAAATACCATACATTTTAAAATGCAGAAATTTACAAAATATCCATGAAACTTGTTCTAAAAGTAATTTATACGGATTCCACAGAACAGAACAAGTCTAGACCTAACAAGCGAGTAGAATAGTATATTATTAGCCAAGGTTGCAGAGACAAGCATTCTAGACCGAGCGCAAATTAGAACCCGAGACGCGCAGCGTCGAGGGCTCTGAAGCGCGAGGTCTAGAAATGGCTTTGCAACCGTGGTTAATATACTATTTTTTTCACTAGTATAAACCATAAGACAATAAACTGAAAAAATAAACGTTCAATTTTTTGACGCAACATGATTTTGTTTTGATTTCTAATCAAACTTACTCTAAATCTTCAACACAAAGAAAACCGTTTATACTTGTCGCTGAGTTAATCATTTTATCTTCTACCGTCTACCACCTACCATGCCTATACTCAAGTAATGTTTGTAGCACACATTTGTTCATTTTTACTTCCCGAGCGTAAACAAAGGAAGTATTGTAATCGAGTCCGTCGGCCGACTCTCTACTTTTACGTTTTCTCGATCTTTCATGACCCCTAGAAGACGAAGAAATAGGTCTCCCATTTCCGTCTGTCTGTCCGTCCGTCTGTCCGTCTGTCCGTCTGTTGTCCCGGATTTTATTAGACAGATAATCTCCGAAAGTACTCGACCGATTGTTGTGAAATTTTGTACTTATATTAAGAATATCATGTAGATGATAAAACGCTAACCAAAATTTGTCTAATCATCCCCACCACTAATGCGATGACGTCACTTCAAAATTGTACATAGTAAATGGGTTTTCAATTGTATAAAATAACATAGTCCTACACATGTAGTTTACAACTCTGAATCGACTTTTCACCCGAAACGTCCAGATTTTTGGAAAAAAAATCAAAATTATAAAACAACATTTTGAAATTTAATTTTTAATCTGCTAACCAGAATGCTTTGAAATGTTGCAAATGTTTTAAGGCTATAAAGAGCATCATAAATCTTTAGTCAAAAAATATTTGCTTATCCCCTCCAAAAACTTGATGACGTCAGCTCAAAAGTTTGTGGAATAAATCATATCTAAAATGTACAAAATATGATGAGTCTGTACTTGTGATCTATCACTCCATTCATATTTTTTGGATTTGCATATACAGGGTGACTCAAAAAAATTAATGAATGCGTAAATATATTTTATTGATTTAATCAGGAACTACAAAACCGAATGCTTTGAAATCTTGCAGATGTTTTAAGGTTATAAAGAGCATAATAAATGTTTAGTCAAAATATATTTGCTTATCCCCTCCAAAAAATTAATGACGTCAGCTCGAAAGTTTGCCGAATAAATCCTATCTAAACTGTAAAAATATGATGAGTCTGTACTTGTAATTTATCACTCCATTCATATTTTTTGGATTTGCATATACAGGGTGACTCAAAAAAATTAATGAATGCGTAAATTTATTTATTTGATTTAATCATGAACTGCAAAACCGAATGCTTTGAAATCTTGCAGATGTTTTAAGGTTATAAAGAGCATAATAAATGTTTAGTCAAAATACATTTGCTTATCCCCTCCAAAAAATTGATGACGTCAGCTCGAAAGTTTGCCGAATAAATCCTATCTAAACTGTACAAAATATGATGAGTCTGTACTTGTAATTTATCACTCCATTCATATTTTTTGGATTTGCATATACAGGGTGACTCAAAAAAATTAATGAATGCGTAAATTTATTTTATTGATTTACTCAGGAACTACAAAACCGAATTCTTTGAAATCCACTGCGAAAAAAAACATAATAGGCATGCAGTCGTCACGTTTCCGACAGCGAGGGAAGTACTGTCTAAACTCTTTAGACCAATTTTTTAAGAAATAATCACATCAAACATTTCGTACATAACGTCAATTTTTTTTTTTGAACCGGTGGTCGCAAAAATTGAATTTGCTACCTCTAAATGAGCCGACATTTCCATGCGTCATGGCTGCTAGTGAAAAAAGTTTTGTATACGTTGGCGAATTCAATAGCAAACACGTTAACAATGTCTTAGGGTTCCTCCAACAGTCATGCTGCCTGGGGTTCGGTCACAGTGACGTTTCATATTAACGTACGACCAGAAGTCAGTCGAGTCCCTCTTGACACACTCCTCTGCTCGATGAATGAAATGATTGTGTGCAATCTTTATATTCCACCTTAAATTCTGTCTTAGTTGTTTCGTTTTGTCAAGATCATATTGTAATTTTGGCTTCCTATATCGATTGCAATGTTTATTCTTTAATTTTATTTGTGATATTATATCTTTTGAATACCAGACTGGATAATTGTTTTGCGTTTTTGGTGAGTAAGATCTAATTGGAACATAAAGCAGAAATAAGTCTTGTAAATTTTTATACAAGTAATCACAGTCAAATCAACATCTTCAAAATTATTAAAATTTGACCAGTCTACGTTAGAAATTGCAGCATACAATTCTTTAAAATCAGCTTTCGTAGAATCAAATTTTGCATTACATTTATTATACATAAAGGGAGTATTTGGCAATTCATTTATTTATACAAGACCAGACAACGAGAGACATGGATGGTGTAAATCTGTTTGGAAAAGTGGTTCATTACAATTTTCAACATGAATTCCTACGTTTTCAGCATTAATATCCCTAATATTCTTATGTTGAAGTAGGTTATTTAATGTTAAAAGGTTGTCATAAGCATGATACAACTGCGTTTTTTTAAGTCTTTCAATACAATCACGAAGCTCAGTTATGTTAAAATCACCTCTTATGATAATTGGTAGATGAAAGTTGATCGAGGCATCCAGAAATTCAAACAAATGAGTATACAATGGTAATGGTACAGAGGGTGGAATATATACATTGACTATAGACAATGATTTTCTATGCAATGTAATTTGAATAGAAACTGTATCAATCTCAGGTACTAGTGACTGACATGAGATTTGTTGCACCATAAAGGAATCTGTCGTGCCCAAATAGTTTTGACCGCGGCCGAGCTTTTGGACACTAACAAAATTATTTATTTGGGTGTAGGCCCATTTCCTTGGAAATGGAAGAGCTAAACTGCATGTAGGGGAAGAGGTAATAACTAAACATTTCTAACATTTTTATACATATATTGAAAGAATTATAAACATATCAAAACAATAATCGAGTAAATGTGTAAATGTTGAACGGAAAAATAAAACATAAAAAATAAATTTACACACCTAACACAAAAAAAAACAACATGCAAAACTACTATCTAAAGCGTTTTTAATTAAATTTAATCCTATAAAAAATCAGCATGCAAAACTTAAAATTAAATTCGATAATTCCTTAATTAAGTGCGATACCTTCTAAACAATATTAATATTACGAGCGTGATAAATAAACTTAAAAAAACTACTAACTATGAAATCGAGTAATTACTTCAATATTTAATAAATTGCGATTGGGCATTTATATATTAATTAAATCATTAAAACAACTAAAATAATAATAAAATCAATAATTCAGTGGATTCGGAGAAATCTCCACTGATAATAAGAACAACTAAAATAAATGAATTAATATCATGCACTTAAATCTACGACAACTTATGAATATAAAACATGTAAAAAGAGATAAATGAGTTTTTACATTCATTGATTAGCTAAATATGCCGAGCGCAACACTTGTTCACGAGAAAAATTGACGGTTACAGGACAGTTAAATACATACAAAAATGAACAGTCTATAGTCTATAAATGAAGCTAAACATTGAGAAATTAGTATCATAGATGCGCTAAAATACAGCGAGACGATTAAAGTAAAATAAAATGCGAGGTTTCCAAATACTATAGCAAAATAATCAGAGAACGGAATCATATTTAGACGGCAAAATTCAATATAAAATAATCAACTGCAAGAAAACTAAATTAAAACGTTTCAATTCGGGAACTTCTCAAAAACGCACATAAAATATTCATGTCGCAAGCAAAAGAGTTAAATCGGCAAATTAAGGAAACATTGGAATAATTATCATAAAAACAAACGGTAATTAATCGAAAAATCCTCCCCAACAATCAAGAACCGACGCAAACCTAACGTGCCACCTGCAAACGAGAACATGTGGTAGCACTCAAGATTACTTTCTTTGCCGGCGCTAACTGTTCACACTCAACGTAACGAAGAAAACGCATAAATTAAACGCTACACATGTACGATTCGAACTCGAGAACACATGACGAAAAAATGGAAAGCAAGATAAATCAAGAATGACTAAAAGGTAGACTTACACAGCCGCAGCATTGAAAATTTTTCTATCTTCCTCTCGGGCTCAGCAAATTCTTCTAAGTTCAGATTTCTTCAAAATTCAGCAAAAATAATAAAAAATCTCGACGAAAAATTCGGCAGCGTCTTCGACCACAACTGGAAACTTCTACTGAAACCGTTTTCGGCGCTACTACTTATATAGGGATTTTTACTCATTATTCTTGTCTCCCGCGACTTTAGTGGACTATATTTCTTCATGATTAGTGTAGTACTCGGTACGCGATTTTAGGTTTTGTTTCGTTGTTTTATAGGGTTTAGCTTTTAATTATGGTTCCGCGTCTGACGTTTTTTATTGGTTAGTGTGTCGTATATCTTCGGGTTTTTTCAACTTGCGTCATGCTTTTCATGTCGTCATCGCTACATGTGGTTAGCCTGTTGTAGCTATTTTTGAAGAGGGCGTTTTTTTTTTAGGCTGTTTATGCGTCTGGGTAATTACGATTGGCGATGTTTATGGCGTATTATTCTGTACAAGTTATTTGCAATGTCTGGCAAGCGCAATGTTGTTCGCAATTTGCGAATACGCGAATTTTGTTCATGCATTTGGGGATTGATGGTTGATTTTGTTTATCTATTTGAATGGTACTATATGCCGATTAGGAAATGCGTGTTAATTAATTAAGATTTTTGTTATTAGTCTTTTTGGTTACAATTTTCTCGTGAACGAATTTAGTGACGGCTCGTCACAAATCGTTTATACCAATAAGGACTCCACCTCCACGTCCTGAAGTTCTGTCACATCTAAATACATTGAAATTGGCAGGGAAAAGTTCACTACTAGATACATTATCACTAAGCCACGTTTCGGTTAGCAAGACCACATCTACATCATCACAAGTACAGATGTTATTATAAAAGTAATTGACTTTGGAGTTCAAACCTCTAACATTTTGGTAAATAATATTAAGAGTTGGTATTAAAGTATTTGTTCGCTGGATACTTAGTTGTTTTTTTACTTCCTTAATAACTATTTTCGGTACTCCATTGATATATCTTAATTTAATATTTGATTCTCCTTTAGATAATCGCCCTTTGAATTCTTTACGGATCCTATAACACAAATCCTGTTGCTTCACTGTCAAGTCACGATTGATGTATACATTATTAGTTGTTTTATATTTACGTAAAATAAACTGAACTTGATCTGCTGATCCCAGCGTAATTTTCACCGGGCGATTACGTCCATTCTCAAATTTTCCCAACCTGAAGCATACCTGAAATGCCATCCCTTATGGGAGCATCTAAGTAACTTAAGAATTTGGTTATGTCCTCTTGTTTCCTGTAATTGGAAGAGTTAACTGTTGGTTCAGGAAGATTATGAATAATTACATTCGTCGATCGGATTTGGCGATCTAGATAGACACCTATATCACACACAACACTATCATTGCTACAACACGTTTTCTTGCAAATAATGCATAATTCCGGCATTTTACTTAATAACAATAATATCAATGGCTGATACGTATGAGGCAATCTAAACACGTCTGTCTTACCGCTACGCTCGCTACAAATGCGGAACTAAAACGTTCATTTGGGTTTATTTTCTTAAATTTAACATTTGTCAAAACTAAAAAACGCGTTATCAATAAACAAAACCAAAATACTAGGAGTATAAATTATTGTTATTAATTTTGTAATTAATTAATAATAATAATAATAATATAAACATTATAGTAATAATCTGATTGAACAAAATTAAACAAGTGATGAAAAATACTACACGTTTGGAAACTAAAATTATTAAAAAACAACCATAACTAATAATTGCATACAAAATGATTTTCCTGACAGTCATTTATAAGATTAACATTCGTTATTGGAAATTTAACAAAGTAGTAATTTGTTACCAATTTGTACTACTTTTTAAGTACTAAATCTTAATCTTGACAACAGTAATTTTTATGACGTTTGTCGCTTTACATTAACGCACGCACATTCATTTTTTACCTCTTTGATTTAGTGCAAATTTTATACTACTGTTCAAGGTTTTATGTAAAACTTAAACAGCGATAAAGAGTTACAAAGAACTCCCAATACAGAAACTTTTTACCAACGGGTGTTCATGTTTTAAAAATGAATGACGAAAAGGCGGAAGAAAGGCAAAATAACCCCAGGCAAACAGCAAATCTAATTTCCCGAATAACTTTTTGGTATTTAATTACTCCTACTAAACAATTCAAACATTTTATAATTTTATTTAAGGTATACTTGCGACTTGTTTAAAAAAGGGTTTAAACGAGAACTCGAAGAAAAAGATTTGTATGAAGTGCTTCCTCAGTTCAAGACGTCCGAACTTGGAGATGATATGGAACACGAATGGAATCAACATAAACGAGACAAGAATGCTATGTTTTTAGTTTTGTGGAAAATGTATGGCAAGTATTACTGTACACTTAGTGTGACTATGCTCTTCACTATTGTACTTAAGTAAGTTTCTCTTCTTAAATCAGAAAACGAATTTAGTTCATACTTTTAGCGTTGCTCGTCCCATAATCATTGGCCAATTGGTTTTCTTTTTCACTCCCGGACAACAAAGTCTAAGTAGAACTGATGCTTTGCTCTACACTATATTTTTGCTTGCACTTCAGATAATTGACGTCATCTGTAGACAAAATTACATCTTCTTAATAGAAAATTTGATCATCAAGATTCGCACTGCATTTTGTTCATTGATTTACCGAAAAATTCTTAAGCTTCCAGTAAGTCGTTTACGTTACATTAGCTTTGGTAATGTTGCAAATTTGATAACAAGAGACATCGGTGGATTTGATCAGTTCTTCCTTAACTTTACTTACGCTTGGTCTGGATTCATCGTTACTGTAATTTCATGTTACAACATATATCGACGTATTGGTTGGCCAGTTGTCGTCGTAATTTTTTCGTTTGCTGTATTTATTCCGCTCCAAGGTACGTACGATTTAATGTAGTAGACAAATAAATTGTTTTTATACACATGGGTGATTCATATAAGGTAGCATCGTTCAAGGTTTAAACTTGAACATTTAACAAATAAGTTACTGGCACACATAAATAATAATTTTTGTGGTAAACTTTAAAAAATATATTTAAATGACAAATTGGAATGGCCCAAAACTATTTTTCTTTTTATTTAGGTACACGCCATACTTTGTCTTAGAAAACTTTAAATTTTTTGTTAAAAAGTTACTTAGAGTTCACAGTACAGGAATAAGTGATCATTATTGCAAACTTGTAAAGCTTGTAGAACTAGTAGAAGCGTTAGGTATGTGAGCAAATTGAACATGAACTGGGGGAATTTAACCAACTCATTTAGTTAAGACTTTGGCATTTCATCAAACCCGTTTTCAGTCTTAGAAGGAGAACCTATTTGATATAATCTTATAGATAGTATGTCCCCATATTTAAACGCTGGTTAGAAAATTAAGAAAGGTAAATATTTATAATTCCCTTATCACAACTTTTACTTTATTTATATTAGCCAAATTTTAATAGCTGTAAAAGCTTATACTTTGGAACTAGTAGTAATTTAAAATTACAGAATTTTTTCCACACAATCTTTAAACATTAAGATCTTGCCAGTGGTAATAGATTTTTGTCACTATCCAAGTGTTTTCTTTCTTTCTTCCTTAAAAATTTGTATCTATAAATATTTTATGTCTGACAATGCATTGATTTGTTTCGTTTACAGTTCTTGCAGGAGTTTGGATCGCTTCGCTCAAGAAAGAGACATCTAAGAAAACTGATAAACGACTGAATGAATTCAAAGAAATTTGTTCCAACATTAGAAGCACAAAAATGTACGTCTGGGAAAATCACGTGGAAAACAAAATCTCCTTGGCAAGAAAGTAAGTGATCTTTCGGAAAATGCGACAAACTAAGAACATTTTTAGGAAAGAAATGAATGCCCAATTTAAAATTTTTATTTTGCTCTTTCTGTCTGTGGCGACGGGTATCATAGTTAACAATGTAACATTCTATTTCGTTGTGATGACTAACATTTGGACGGGTCGGACCCTCACGGCAGAAGTTATGTACTTCATCAGTGGCACTTTCATAACTCTTGCTTTTACCACAACAATTGCATTTCCACACGTGACATTTAATTTGTCGCAAGTAATTATTGCAATTAAAAGGATGCAAACTTTAGCTCACACATTAGAAACGCGAAGCGAAAAAAGGTGTCGCACACTTAAAACAGAAAAGACAAAAGTCGAATTTTTAAATGTGAAAGTTATAATCGACAATAAGACAGTGTTTGACAATGTCAGCCTTCATGTTAATTCAGGATTAACTCTAATCACCGGACCCACTGGTAGCGGTAAAAGTGTATTCCTTTTGACAGTTTTGAAAGAGTTTGAAATATCCGATGGTAAATTATTTGTTGAAGGTAGACTATCTTTTGCGTCACAGGAACCTTGGTTATTTCCTGCCACTATTAGACAAAACATACTTTTCGGAAACAACTATAATTATAAACGTTATCAAGAGGTTCTACAAGTTTGTGATTTACAATATGATTTAGACTTACTAGAAAATGGTGATTCCACTGTTGTAGTCGATGGTGGAGTTAATCTGAGCAAGGGCCAACGAAGCAGGATTAATTTGGCAAGGGCTATCTATCAAAAAAGCGATATTTATGTGATAGACGATTGTCTGTCGAGTTTGGATCGTTTAGTTTCTGACTATATTTTTAAAAACGGTATTCTAAAATTTTTGCATGACAAATTAGTATTTCTCGTGAGCCATAATTCAAATTTAAAACACTATGCTGCCAATATTGTAAATCTAGATAATGGAAATGTTAAAATTTGGAGAAACGATTTGTCGGACAATGTAAAAAATCACGACTTAAACATCATTCCAAATATTCAAAACACTTTAACAAATTCTATATCAACAACTACTTCTTCGATTTCTGAAAGAAGTCAGTTAATTAAAGCAACAAAAACAAATAAAATTTATGGAGAAATTAAAAAATCGGGTTCAGTCCCTCTAGGGATTTATATGAAATATATACGTATGGGAGGTGGAAGTCCAATTTTCTTTATTATTTTTTGCATCTTCATTCTAACTCAGTTAGTAGTAAGTTACAAAGATAAATTAATAAGCACATGGTAAGTGGATGCTGTAGAATTAGTGGTCATACCAATATATATTTTTTTAGGGTAAACTTGGAAGACAAAATTTCACGAAATAATCATACCGTTGGCAACATATCGTACTCACGTTTTATACAAGATCGTAATCAACTTTTGCATCACTACACCCTTGCTGTTGTCGGACTATCTATCGCTACATTAATCAGAGGATGGGCATTGTTTTTATTTTCAAGAAAAATATCAACGAATTTACACAAAAGAATGCTGAACTGCGTTGTTAATGCTTCTCTCAAATTTTTTGACATGACTTTTTTAGGAAATATTGTGAATAGATTTTCGAAAGATCTTGATAGTGTCGACGAACGTATCCCGTTTCCGGTACACCATTTAATAACTGTAATGTATAGGTAGACAATGCTTTACTCGCTTTCATCAATCTGGAATTGTTTTAGATAATTTTTGAAACTGTTGGAAGCATTATGCTTATTTCGTCAACCAAATAGAATTGCTTTTACCCATCGGCTTGCTTTTTGTAAGTCTCATAATTATAAGATGTGTTTATATAAAAACAGGAAGACCGCTGAAAAGGCTAGATGTTTTAAGTACACTAGTAATGCTTTATTGAATTCAAATTCTACTTTAACTTTTAGCTAAAAGTCCTGTTCTTGGATATCTAAACGCCACATTAGAAGGAGTGCCAACTATAAAGGCTTCCGGTGCACAAAAAATTGTCACGGAGGAGTTTGAAACACACCACAACCTTTATAATTCGGCGTCGTATTCACACGCCAGCACTTTGAAAGCTTTTGTTTTTGTGACAGATATGCTAGCGTCTATGTTTGTCGTTGTGGTTATTTTGCAATTTGTTATTTTTGACAGAGGTATTTTCTTGTTCTGTGTAACACCGATCTCAAAAAAAATTTGCAGACGTACTACCTGGAAACGTAGGATTAGCAATTTCACAGTCATATGTAATTAACAGTGTAATTTTCTTTGGAATGCAGCAATGGGTCGATTTAGAAACACAAATGACTTCAACGGAGCGCGCAATGGAATATACCACCGTACAAAAAGAGTCTGAGTCTGGGTTAGAAATCGAAGACTGGCCAAAACTAGGTGAAATTAAGTATGAAAATGTGTACCTGTCTATGAATAATTCCAAGTCATACATTTTAAAAAATCTAAATTTTCACATTAAACCTAACGAAAAGCTAGGAATTGTGGGCCGCACGGGAGCTGGTAAATCTTCAATTATCTCAACCCTTTTTCGTTTGTACAAAATTAAAGGAAGAATTACAATAGATGGCGTTGATATTAAAACGCTTTCATTACGTTTTCTTAGATCGAATATTTCTGTAATTCCACAGGATCCCTTCTTGCTCAGCGAAACACTACGCGATAATATAGACCCAGATCAAATACATACAGACGAAGAAATATGGAATGCATTAAATACTGTGGGAATGAACAAAACTGTTTCAACTTTAAACACTAATATTAAAAAATTTGGGTTTAGTTGCAGTCAGAAAAGGTTATTGTGTTTAGCTAGAGTATTAATAAAAAATAAGAAAATACTAGCTATCGATGAAATAGTCGAACACGTGGACACTGAAACGGAAAACTTAATTTACAACATTATAGATGAAAACTTTAAATTTTGTACGGTTATTAAAATAGCACATAGATTAAAATTTGTTATGGATTGCGACAAAGTGTTAGTTTTAGATAAGGGTAATATTGTTGAATACGATAATCCCAAAATTTTATTGAAAAATCAAAATACTTTGTTTTATAAGATGGTAAAAAAATGTGGACTTTATAGTAATATTGTAAACTAAAAAAATTATTTGATTTTTAAAGAAGTCTAAACCATTGAAGGGGCAACACGAGTTTTATTCACCCCTACACATTTATACCTTTTGGGTCCAATCGAGCCGGATGGATTCATTCATCTGAATCATCACACAACAAAAAACCCGGTCATTTGACCAAGGCGTTTTTGCATTACTAAAAGCCAACGCTTGATCAAGGCAGTGTGTATCAAAGTGAAAGTGTAAGCGATCCAGACGATCCAAAGGAACCGGACTCTTGATCCGGACTTCTGCGGGAAGAACTCGAGTTACATATTCGGAGCGATCACAACGTCCATATTGTGTCCAGGACTTTCAGGTCAAATCTTACCTTTTTTTTAACTTTCTTGGCACATTTTAGGCAAACCTCAATTTTGTCGAACACCCTAGTTTGTGGGAAGTATATTATATTTCTTAGTAAAATGCCTTTAGATGAATGAATTGAACGCGCAGCGAAAGGTTATTAACTTATTAAATATAACATTCTAGGTATCCAACTGCCGTAAATGCATTCAAGAAGAGAGGCAATGTTTTAGCGTTAGAAACCAGAATTTTACGAGTTTTTTAACCGTGTATCATCATCATTCTTTTTAAAATTTTGATGAAATTTTCAATCACACATATATCTTTAAAACTCAATATCTCAGTTATTTTTAGAAATTTCGGAACACAATTTCGACCACTGTTTTCAGCTTATAAAATCCTATAAGTAACAAGTTATTGTTTTTGTTTTTTTTTTGTTGGAAATAAGATAAAATAAAAACAGTTTTTTCGACATAAGCTAGTTTTTTAGAAATACAGACACAAGTATAAAATATAAAAACAAAGCACATAAGATCCTGAAAAATATGACATTTATATACAACCACTCTTAAGTAGGCATAAAATTTTGACTTATATGGAAGTAGTCATCCCATGAATATAACGCGAACCCTGTTAAATTTTTTTAATGACAGATTTAAAATTTTGTCCATTTCACTCCCGAATAATCTGCGGTAAAGCATTATAGAAATTAATGCCTAGGTATTCAACTCCATTTCGAGACTTTGTCAGTCTAGTGTTCGTTAAACATAAGTGTTCACTAATATCGTGTATTATAATTATGAATATGATTATGATATAAGTAATCACTCAAATTAACTTTAACATACATTAGACATTGGCAATGCCATGATTTGCATTTTAGTAAAGGTGTGTTTACAGTCAGCCCTGTAAGGTAAATTAGCCATTATTCTTACTGTTCTCCTTTGCAATTTAAAAATTCTGTGAAAAATTCTAGAGTGCCCCCACATTAATAAGCCATAGGTTATGTGGGGCTGGAAGAGTGCAAAATATGCTGTATACAGTGTTTCCAGCGGAACCTTGTCCCTAAGATTTCTTAGGAGAAATGTAATTTTACATAGTTGGTTTGCCAGTACATCACCTTGAGCATCCCATCGCAAAGCATTGTCAATAGTTATATCTAAAAATTTGTTAGAGGTTACAAAGCCATCGGGAACGTGTATACTTTTCTTTAGGGAGAATAACATTCTTACAGTTTTTGATGTATTTACTGTTAATCTGTTAGCGACGAACCAACTTTCGGTCTTTGATTGTGCCATAGTCTGGAAACCAGATCCCTTCCGCTGCAAATCAAAGTCGTGTCATCTGCATATAGAATGCTCTTGCAATGAGTCCTCATATACACTGAAAGATCGTTAATGTACATTAGAAAGAAAAGAGGTCCAAGGACAGAGCCTTGAGGTACCCCATGCAAAACTGGTAGTTGCTCTGACCGTTTTGAATTTATGGAAACTAACTGAGATCTGTCACTATGAAAGATGACAATAATCTGCAACAACAGGGACTTAAATTGTACATGTATAATTTTCTCAATAGCGTCAGGTGATGGACACAATCGAATGCCTTAGTAAAATCAAGAAAGGACACTGCTGTTATTTCGCCACTTCCTAAACATTACCCACCTCTCTGATAAAATCTAGCACTGCTCCAACCGTAGAGTGATTCTTCCGGAAACCATGCTGTGAAGGTGACAGCAAGTAGTTAATTTTGAGAAAGTTACTTAATGGATTATATAAGATTTTTTTCAGGATCTTAGAAAATAGTGGAAGAATAGAGATCGGCCTATAGTTGGAGGTGTCGTTTATATCACCTTTCGTATGTATGGGAACAACTCTAGCACTCTTCAGACAGCTAAGAAATACTGATTGCACAATACAAATGTTAATTAGTTTAGTTAAAGGGGAGATCAAAATGTCTGTGATGCTTTTTATGATCGTAAAATTTAGACCATATATATCGTTAGATGTACTATTTTTTATAGAATTTATCACATCTCTAACAGTTGCACCGGAAACCTGGCAAAAACTAAAATTAGACCTACAGTTTTTAGGAATGAACATACTCTCACTCATTAACATTATTGGATCATCGCAAGAAGGAGATAGATTATTGACTAAATTAGATGCAACATTAGTAAAGTAGATATTAAAATCATCACATGTTCGAATACAGTTCAATATATCAATATTTTTACTAGAAGTGATGTCTCGATATTTGTTGACAATATTCCACAGAGCTTTACTTTTATTATTTGCGGAATCAATAGTTTGTTTATTGAAATTTATTCTACTAAGCCTAATTTCT